TCCACTTCTGATATCAACATAGGTAATCTTGAATAATTGCTGAAGTCGACTAAATTTGGTATTGCTAATCGGCCATCGTGATATGATTTTAATATACAGGGTTCTTCAAACTGAGTGGTACATTAGACGTTTTACCAGAAATTAAACGTGTAAGAAATCTGAAAATTTGGCAATCGAGGATGATCTTTTTAACTAAAATAATTTCAATTGTCGCTCGCTTGCGGATATTTTAAATGGAATGGTATATTTTTTGCGACAAATTCATATGAAACACAAAATTTTAAGGTAAATTTGATAACTTGTATGCCTCCGATAAATATTTTCGTATAATTTAATTTATAGAAAAAAAAATCGCTACCGCAAGCCAAATCATAACAAATTATTATTTGTTGAAATTTATACCAGTTATGTGTTCTATGACTAATGTTAAACTAAAATTGAGCTTTATAATTTTTAGTGGGCGTTCAGCATACAATCCATTCGTTTTTTCAAATGACACCTACCATGTTTTATTTTGCCAATCGATTCCTCTTTTTATCCTTTTTCGATTCATGTTTTATAATGCTTTATTTGAAAATATTTGAATAAATTTGGATTTTTATCTTAAATAGATAATTTGTGGTTGCTGTGGACGATTGACAGCTATTTCAAATATCAAAAATCAGAACCTTATCTTTCGTTTTTCTGTTATTAAAATGATAGAAGGCTGAGCTTATATTTGACGGAATTTGGTTCTTTCCAATACCATACCTTCGAATACCACTTCTAAAAGTGTTCTTGGAGACCTTGTTTTTTTTTTATCAATGATGGAAGCATAAGATGCATGCCTATAAATTTATTAAATCTCCATCTACAGGATTCTCCACAGAATAAAGAATTTAAATCTGAATTAAAAAATATACCATTCCATTTAAAATAGCAAAGTTATAAGATATGAAGGTATAACCGGAAGCAGCCGACAGTTAAAATTATTTTAGTTAAGGTGATATGACAGTCTTTGTATGTTCAAATTGCTCATAAATTAACAAAAATTTTAAAGAGGGTTTAAATATAGTTTTGTTATTTATGTTTAAACATTTTAAATTTAAAAATTTTTAATTTTTGGATGAGGTTCTAAGTAGTTATGTATCTCCAACATAGTTTTAGAATTTGTTTTCTCGTTCTCGTTCGTTTTCTCAGTTCTAAAATAAATTTAAAAAATAGACAAAAAATTTCTCGCTTCATGGAAAGAAGTCGTTCGAAATGGACTAACCCGCGAAATAACGGTGTGGAAGTTGGTCAATGAAATTCCTGACGCGAAGAAATAACCGATGCAGCTATGGAACGTAATCGGCTTATATCGAACGGTGGAATCACTAATACGCCAATGATCCGCAATCGATTATGTCAAGACAACGCACTCATCCGACTGGACTCGACTAAGCCATACGGTGACAACTCCCCCCTGCTTAAGGTAAAGTCCAGGTAGACGGAGCTTACGGGGCGGGGCGGAGATGATTCACTAGTTAATGGTCCCGGAAAATCCCTTAATGGTTGACCCCTAGTACATCAACGACTTCATGTGGACCTGTCCAACAGGGGGGTCAACGGGTGAGGTTTTACGAAGTTCCGGACTAGGATCTGGTCGCCCAGGTGGAAGGATATCGGAGTGGGGTTAGGAGGTTCTGATGCGTACCGTCGATGGTAGAGTTGTTGGCGTCGGCAGACTTGCTCCTTTCTATCCATCGGAGTTATAATGGACGGGGGTACGTTGTTGTGGTTCTTCCATTGTCCAGGGCGGTGAAGGGTGTAACCTAAAAGGTACACTAAAATGTTGTCGACAGAACTGAGCCGATTGTTGGTTTCGAAATTACAGTCCATTTTTCGAGAGAAGATAGCGAGAGTAGCCGTGTCAGCAGAATACGTCTTCCTCCAGGAATTTAAGAAGAATGTTCGACGTAGCTCGGGAACGGCCTATACCTCCATCCATCTTGAAAAAAGGTCGGTCGAGACAATTAGACATTGTCGTATATAGCTTCGCACATCCTGGATAAAGGTTTACCAGAGAAATTGCCGTTTGATGGCACGTCACGTTTCATCCCGACCCAGGTGTCCAGCGTCGGGGTGGTCATGAAGTCAATACAACACAAACTGCTTAATAGCTTCTGGTACATGATTAGATCGGTTTGCGGGGTTCGATGGTAAAGTATACCTTTCTTCACGCTGTATCGCCGATCGTCTGTGTTATCTGAAATAGAATTTTGTTGATCGTCCCCAGTCCTTCATATTGAGCAGCTTAGATACATTTTATAAAACGGTTGGGGTTCTAACTCTTCTACCTGATTAATATCAAGTTAAACGGTTGTACCTTTAGTCTTCCTTGACTTCCGGTAGCAAACTGTACACTGTATGTGAAGACGGTGGTTCGCTGTCTAAAATTTCGGTCCAAGGTTGCAATCGTCAACCCAACGTCAATCTATGATGCACCCCACGATTCCCAAACTACACGAACCGATGGGTCACCTTTTCCTCCCAGCTTCACGCCCGCTTCGCAGAACTCACTTAATCCCACTTAACTTCACTTCACCTACCTCTTCCTCATTTAGCTTTGCTCTTGATAGGACCCCACATAGTGTTTGTTTTCGTCATCGTCACATGGAACTTTTACAATTTTATCTTCACACACATTGGTTGCATTTCAGAGTAATGGTTTGTTGAATGTTGGGCGGATGGGCAACTTCGTCCCGAGTTTGAGCATTAAAACGTCTGAAGTCAATGCAGAAAAGTGGTTGTCCGAACTTCTTCTTGACTATTACGATGGGAGAGGCTTAATCGGATGTGCTGGCCTCTATGACGCCGTCCGCCAGCATCTTGTTCATCTGTTCATCGACGACTGGCAATGTGGCGTTATACCAAATGGGCGGTCTTCCTTTAGTTAGATATGATGTCTGGTGAAAGCGGTTGTGGCGGTTGGTCTTTTAGGATCAAACACGTCCCAGAACGCTCGGAAGAAATTTTCGAAGTCCTGTTTGTGGGAGGTTGGGAAGCCGGGGGACGAAAGGTGTTCCTTCGCTGAGGCGAAGTGGCGTTTTTCAATAAACCACAAACCAGGACAGGAATTGCCTGAGAGGTAGCTAATTTAATGATTTTGGATGGGAAATACACCCATAAATCGTGACGAATCAAGTTGAGTGATGAGCCTGAATCTAGAGGAACGAGTTGAGGTTGACGTCATCCGTGACTAAGAACCTAGGAAGGACAGTTGCAAGTTTTGCTCCTTTCTTGATCTTAAAAAACTGGCCCCACGTTGGGCGCTAATTATTGTAGGTCAGCTGTGACTTTTCTTAATATTTTTTATAACATTTATATATATATACATAGTTGATAATCAAAGAGGACAGGAGTATAGAGAGAGAACACAAAGCACTAAGCACATATAGGTTGATTGGTCATCAAACCTAACTTCATGATTACCAAATCCTCCAGCTGGTAACCTATTCCCACCCTGCCGGGATGTATTGGAGGTCGAAGCTGGCTCCCTTCCAGAATAGCGAATAAGCTTACAGACTGGGCTAGCAGGGGCTGGATGAGGCCGGCAGCGAAGATTTAGGAAGCGTCGATAGCGGTGGCGTTTATGATTGCTCGGTTTGGTAAGATGACGTAGGACGCTGTCTTCTATCGGACCTCCGTCCGACACGCTTTTTTCGCTTCCTGGCAAGGAGTCGTTAGAAATGAAATCCCTGGTGAGAAGTAAGAACCGATGCAGCTTTGGAGCTCAATTTGCTTATATCGAACGGTGGAATAATTGATGCGAAGAAAAAATCTGATGCGCCAATGAACCGCAATCGATTATGTCAAGAGAAGAGGCGATGCTGCTGATGAGCAATCGACTGGAGTTTGTAGCTCCGCTTGCGCTTTTATTCAACCCTGTCGTAGTGGGTTTGTATCGGGGCGCGTTAGTATGAATGCGGATCAGGCACGCGACAACGCGCTTGTCGGGCTGGACTCGACCAAGGTATACTGTAACAGAATTTCCTGGGGAAGGATTAGTTAGGTAGTTCCCTTGTTTTCTTAACTTTGATTTCAGCCACTTCTGACATGGAGTGTCGCCGCTCTTTGCAGTCGCCCATTCAGGATCAGACGATGTTCTGCTAGTTTTGGTCTGCCCCTGGTATTTCATTTCCTTGGTACCAGCCATTTGTGGAAAGCCCTATTCGCTACCTAAGAAGGCGTCCGATGAAGGAGTAAACACAAGAGAAAACCGGAATGTTTAGTATAATTAATATCACAACTTGCAAGTTAACAATTAACTTTGATTTCCAATATGCAGGATTCTGCCACTTGAAGACTTTATTTCACTGCTGTCACTGTCAATTTATTTCCTGATTCACTTCTGCAACTGTCAATTTATTTCTTCTTCCTCTCGGCGATCGTCTCATCCTTTAAATACTCTTTTGTTTCCTTTCTGGAACCCTCTAGAAACATCCGGATCGTTTAGTTCTTCTTTGAACTGTTTAACTGCTTTCCCAGAACGCAGGTACGACACACACATTTACAAATACGGCGACATGAAGAAAGGCGCCCGCGGTTAGTCAGCGAATCGATAAGCCGTTCACCCGCACGTGTGCCCGATCGCACACAAACACGCTCGTGCTCGCTACAGTATTAAAATATTAATTACATTATATTGTAGCCTTCAAAAAGTCCAATAACCTGGACGAAACGTTGGCTGTTTTTTTAAATAAAATAAATTTAAACCCCAGTAGGTATTACTTTGGTCAAAAAGAATTGAAAACAAACTTATAGTTTCTTAATAAAACAAGTTTATGAATCTAACGGTGTCGCTTTTTGTTCTTGGTATAGGTTACTGCAGCAGTTACAATTATTTTTCGAAATAATAAGGGACTCCATTCACTAAATGTGTGTAGTTTGAGTTTTCAAAAATTTTTATGAAAAAAAGTTTGATAAAAGGAAAAATAATTCCAAATTTTTAAATAAATTTATTTAAACAAAGCCTTCACACCATTAAAACATCTTAAAACTAAACAAACAAGTTGAATAAATACGGGAAGATCCTCAGTGACACACTATTACAATAATTTTACCATACAGTCTTTTAATTAAGGAAACTATAAATTATCTTTTTAAAGAATATTGCGTGGTGCTTATTAAATTGGTTGGATGTTTTTTAGCGATTCTTATAATAATTATTCGGTATAAGTTTTATTAAAAATCAGTTAGTACTTTATTAAACAGTACGATCACTTACTTATAAAAAGTGTTAAGCTAATGATCACATTTTCGCTCCTTTTATATTCATTACATAAGTTACATCCCTACATACATACATGTGGACTGAAGCATTTCTAATAATTAGTGAACATTGTTTCAATTTCAACGTTTATCTAATTAAAGCATTAAAAATGATACCAACAATAGTCATTTTATTAAAATATTTTTGATTTGTTTTAACTTATTCATATGTCCGCGGCCATGTAAGCGATCTAGGATTTTTCAGTTTGAGTTGTTCTTTAGGGGGCATCCATAAATTACGTCACACATATTTTGTGGTTTTTTAAAAGTTCCCCACGTCATTATCATACGTGGTCAAATTTGTGAACCACCCTCTCACCCCTGGTGTGACTTCATATATTTTTCAATTTTATATTACATATAAATTTCGCGATTTATTATTTTCGATTTTGACATGTGACGTCATTTGACTCCCCCCTGCACACAATGTCACATTTCGTTTATCCCCTCCCTCTACTTTAGCATGTGACTTAATTTTTAGATGGCCTCTTGGTAAGTACCTACTCCCTTTGCTTATAGATACAATTTTTCGAAGTCAATTAATTTGTTATGATATTTAACGATGCTAGACAGACCTAGTAAGGTAACTTAAGTTATTAGTTCTTTGTACAATAGTGTTTAATGTAATTTTGATCTTAATTAAAGTACGTCTATCGGACTAATTTTTCACTATACATATCTTATTTCAATAGTGTGTTTTCTGGAAATATTCCTTTTGCTATCGAAAACAATCAAAGTATCTGAGATCTATTTGAACTATATTAAAAAATGAACCATGAACAAAAACAAACTGGCTACAGTACGTAAATTACATTATGGAAGATACAATCAATACAGGGTCAACAATTTTGTATAAATAGCGTAGTCACAGTATGAAAAATACAAAAACGTTGCTACAATGACATTTTCCAGCAGTTCAGGATTATATTACAAGCAAAAAGTGGACCCATATTAAATTGAATCCGAAATAATGATTATGTTTGAAACGCAGTATTTGAATACCAATTTTCCCGACTTACGGAAATAATGACATCTGCTTTGGAAGTTGTCCATTTTCCACTAACCAACTAGAACCACTAGGAGCTTTCTTCAACAAATCTATTAACGTTTTAGCTACATACTCGCACCTAAAAAGTATTAAAACTATACAAATTAGTATAGTAACCTAACCTAACCTAACCTAAAGAGTATTAAAACTATGCAAATTAGTATCGTGAAGAATGTACAGGACTGTTATCAACTATGCAGAGGATAACTGAAATAAGTTCGTAGATTGCAGAAGGTGATAGGGCACTATTAAACAAATAAATTAAGTTAATATTTGCAGGTCCGAATTCGAGGAAAACGTATTTAAAGTTACAGGAGGGCCAATCCGGTCCCGGAAAATTATGCTTACGCAGAGAAATACCACAACGTATCGCTGCATTCAGCAGATAATTCATAATATCAGTCATTAGCGCTAGGTCAGTATATCACTTTATATAAGTTATTGGTATTTCTGAGATTCACCTTAAACTCGTTTCTTAAAGCCAGTGACCGATTTGTAACTGTTATGGTATCGAGAATTGTCAATCTAATAAGGAGCCATTCAGAAAGAATGAGAGGAGGGTGGATAGCAAGAAACAGACTTCGAACTACCGAATTGAATACACGTTTTAGTATTTTTTTTTACTTGATTTCAAAGAGAACTAAGTTAAAAGCGCTGAACATTGGCTCACTTCATAAGGCAGTGTGAATGTATAGATAGGTAATGCAAAAAGTGTACAGAACATAAAAATTCACGTTTCAATAATTTAATACACTAAATTTTACAAGATCGAAGCAGTTGCAGAGAAGGAGTAAATGATGAGGTCTATTTCTATCCGAGTACTCTGCCTTTATTATTAATAATGACGTGCAATTGAAGAAAATAAACGAAAAGAAATAAAATAGCTTATCTAATATCTCTAAGGAAAACAATGCAGATTTTGCTGTTAAAATAGAAATTAAAGTTTGTTGTCAATTGTATATTTTTTATTATGATTATAATAATAAATTTTGCAATTATCATTTCCCGTTCGAAATCTATTCTTCTCAATGCGTTTTATATTCCATTTAGGTACCTCTTGTTTTTATCACCAAATACTCAGTCAGCACCCACTTACAAGATGTTTTTAGCTCAATAGAAAAAATAGCGGGATGGTTTTCTCTGTATCCTATTTCCTCTCTGCTTTCCCTTTACTGTCATACTCATACACCTTAAATTATTATAATTACAACTTACTTTACAGGCATAGTATTCGAGATATCAGCGTGCCATGCCTGTTCATATTCTCCACTAAGAAGACGTTTTCTTGGATCTGCTGCTAAATGTGCTTCAGTGGGTGCGGGACATATCGCTATTACTTTAACACCGGTCAAATTAACATGGAGTTTATCGCCATAACATGATGTCAATGCAGCTACAGCATGTTTGGTAGCAGTAAAAACAGGAAGAGATATCATAGGGTGAGCGCTACTACTAGCACCTGCATTTATTACAATCCCACCACATCCTCCTCGATCTCGTCCCATAAATCGATAAGCTAAGAGAAGACCTCGTATTATGCCATTCTGTAAAGAAATTGCTATTTAAAACTATATTATTGAGAAAAAAAAGCGGCGTACCTGTTTTCTCCAAACAGTTTAGTATTTAGAATTATTGGATGAGTATTCAAAAAATGAAATTTTTGTAAATTAAATTTAGAGGAGCATGAAAAGAACGACTTTTAGAAGTTATGTCCTTGAACCTATATACAACCGACGAGCGTGAGATGTTACCGTGAGAACGTATTTTACTGATTATGCATTTTTAGGATTAGTGTTGCATCTTTCTAATATGTAATAATAAAATTGNGTTATGTCCTTGAACCAATATACAAACAACGAGTGTGAGATATTACCGTGAGAACGTATTTTACTGATTATGCATTTTTTAGTATTAGTGTTGCATCTTTCTAATATGTAATAATGAAATTGTTCACTTCTTATTAGTCTCTCGATTAGAGAAGTCGCCTGCTTCACTTTTAAGCTTTTGTAGTTACTTAATAAAATAATTGTTTTTAAAAATAACTTTTCATCAATTGAAAAGATAATTGGCGCTGCGAACAGGATCCGCAGAGACTTTAACTACAGAATAATTCATAGCGAATAATTCGGAAAGTCGTGAGTTTCAACTCTTTGTTGCGGATACGAAAACGTCGAGCATAAAGTGTTACGTGAATATCAATAGTGATCATAGCGTTGCTTGTGCCTGTTGTTACAAGAATCATCTTCAATCGAGAGGATTTCCCCTGCCGAATTTGATAGACAAACTTGGACATCGACCCCGCCTGTTGGAGGAGACCACAAGGATGTTTTTATCAGCTAGCCTGTAAGTCTTTGCATTCCTTTTTAAGTAATTCCATTGTATCCCTTTAATACGTACGTTAAATGTATAGAGATAGAACTCCTATCAATTCTACAAGTTCAGATAGCGATTCTGATTTAGAAACTTTAGGGGCATTGAAACGAAAACTACTTGGTTTAAGTAATACTACATTTACTTCAGTTAAACAAAATATTAAAATGGCTCAGCCCTCACAATTAGAATTAAATTTAGCTAAGGATATGATTCCTGAATATTCAGGTGGTTCCAAAAACCTAGCCTATTTTATTAAACAGTCGGAAAGATTTATTTCATTCTTTGAAAATAAAACCGACGTTAACTGTCTTTTAAATAAGTTACTTTTCGAACAAATTAAATCAAAGATCGTAGGTGATGCGAGAGAAACATTAATTATATCTTCTGCTGAAACGTGGACTCAAGTAAAAGATGTTTTAATATCTCGTTTTGGTGATCCGCGAAATGAGGACCTTTTACTTAACGATTTAGTTACATGCTTTCAGTTATCAAACGAAAGCTATGAAAACTATTATGAACGTATCAGACAAAAACTACAAACGTTATTAGAATATGTTAATTTGAGAAATCCAAAAGTTGATATCAGGATTCCCAAAACAGACTTTTACACTAAACAAGCTTTAAATACGTTTAAAACAGGTTTGTTAGAACCGTATTGTTCCCATTTATTTAATATAAATCCGTTAACAATAGAATGTTGCTTAAATGAATTGCGAAAATATGATAATAATAGACAGCAAATTAGTTTTGTGAACTTTATGAGGAACTGGCAAAAGGCACCCTTGTTTGCTAAGAAAGTCCCACCTGTTCAAAATCAAAAACCTCAATTTAATTACAAACCACAGCCGAATTTCTCTCAGAATATTCAACGGCTAGGACCTATTGTACCTTTTCGATCTCAGTTTCAACCACGGCAACCATTCCCACAACAATCAGTTAATGTACAGTCACGACCAGTACAAATGCATTATCCGACTAATTCTCAAGTTTTCGGGAAAAAGCAAGAATATAAACCCACACCAATGTCTACATCGACTAGATTTACACAACCAAAGTCTCAAAATTATTTTGCAAATACAAATACTCAACCTAGAAATTTTATTGCGGAACAACTACATAATATTGAGGATTCGGAGCAAACGCCTTGTGAATCAGAGGATTACTATCACAATCCCTCAGATTTTGAACAACAACCTCATAACAATCACGAATACGTAGAAAATGCGGAAACAGAGACAGAAAATTTTCCCGACCAGCCTCAACAGTTCGACTTGACTTAAACTCTATCATAAATCAGCCAAAACTACCATTCATTAGCGTACCACAATTTGACCTTAAAATTTTAATTGATTCAGGAGCATCAAATTCTATCATTAATCCCGAACCTGCTCAAAAATATTTTTCTAATAGTTTCTTTTCAAAGCTCTTTACCGTTACTTCTCTTAATAATTCTATTACTGACGATAAAAATATTAGCTATCCTATGTTACAAGAATACGGCATTAAAACAAACATTAATTTTCATGTAGTTAAGTGACACAATCAATGCGATGCACTTTTAGGTAGCGAGGATTTCTATAAGTTAGGTGCGAAAATTGATTATTCTAATAAAGTATTGCAAATAGGTAATGTAAAGATACCTTTCTTAGAATATATAAATAATCACAACTTTAGGCCTTTTACCCAAAAAATTAGCAAAACGATTAAAGTACCCGTTAATATTCATGAAGGAGAAATTTTAATACCTGAAACGGAATTAGACCAACACATACGAATTCCCGAATCGATAGCTTTTGCAGAAAATGGATTTTTCTTATTACCTTTTGAGGAAGAAAGAACGTGCGAAATTAATTTTAATCATCCTATTAATGTTCAGCCAGTCTTTAACGTAGAAGTGCGTCAACCTTTTATTCGGCATTCGGACCCTGATCTTCTAAATTCGATAAGAATTAACCACTTAAATGAAGAAGAACGAATTAAAGTTATGGAACTGTGTGCGAAATATGAAAGTATTTTCTTTAATGAAAACTGCGATTTATCTTTTACAAATGCTGTTAAACACAATATTAAGACTATTGATGAAGCTCCGGTCTATAGTAGATCTTATCGATATCCTTATCACCTAAAAGAAGAAATACAACGTCAAATACAGAAGTTATTGGATAACAAAATTATTAGGCCATCTATTTCGCCATACTCGTCACCGGTTTGGATCGTTCCAAAGAAACTGGACGCGTCAGGTAGAAAACAATGGAGGTTAGTTATAGACTACCGTAAGTTGAATGATAAAACGATCGAGGA